CTGTGGAAAGACCTATTGAAATTGGTCTGTTTATTAGGTCTTTCCACCTTTCTTTAAAAGACCTCTTGAAATGCTAATTAGGTTTCTCCACCTTTCTGTGGAAAGATCTCTTGAAATGCTTATGTTTATTATTATTCTTTTTCCGCCGGACTTTTGAAACCGCAAGACTTATCGAAAAACTTTGTAGTTCATGATACTGGATATCAAAAGTTATTCCGAAAAATGACCCAACGTATTTGAACGTTGACCCCTTACTCAGTTATTACCGCTTTTGTCGTAAAGCTTGTTATCGCTACTCCTTCAAAACAATAAACCGCAGTGTTTCCAGACCTTCACCTATGTCTACGACTTAATTAATAAAGTAAACAATATTTTCTTGTAATATTTTGAATACAGAATGACTCTGATATTATTCTGACTTCATTGGACTATGAAACAAAAATTTGGGGAAATAGGGGATTTTTAGGGGCCAACGTTGAAATCAGACCTTTGCCAGTTAATTTTTTATTACTCAATAAATTTTCAAACATCGGATTTGAGTTCAGCATAAAGAGAAAAATCTAAAAAAATGTGGTCCGTGGGTCACTTTTTGACCCTTTAAAGGAGTTTTAGAGACCTGAAATATTGTATTTTTAAGTCTTTTAAAAAATGGTGATGCAAGAGTTATCTCTCTTTGTTAACCTATTTGGAGTCTAATATGCTCTCTGGGTTTTAATTTTGGCATGCAAATAAAGAGTACTTTCAGTTTTATGAGTCCCTTAATATTGCCTATGGAGATTTCTATGTTAAGTTTGAAATCATGATTGTTCCATTATCTCAAAAGGTAGGCAAGCAATTCTCGTGAAATTTCATATGAATATTGAATCTAGCATTATCTCCAGGTGGAAAGGTCATGGAAATAAAAATCCCTAAAATAGAAAGGATTTTAGGGGGTCAGTACAGAAAACGGTTTTTTCTCTGTAACATTTTTAATTCTCAACCAATCTTCAAACTAATTTTGGAATTACATCAAGCATAAAGGGTACAGTTTAAAAATTATGGGCCGTGGGGTCACTTTTTGACCCCTTATAGGAGTTTTAGTGGATTGAAAAACAGTACATTTTCGTATGTGTTTAATAAACACGAAAGAGTTATGTCTCTTTGAGTAGACACTCATGTACAAAGAGAATTGTTGTTTCCAATTAAATATTGATCTCAAAAGAACTTTTGCAATATTGTATTATATGATTTTTTTAAATTGTAAAATATTGATTTTTCTTTTAAGATTCTTTATTTTAAGGGGTCGAAAAGCCCTCCGTTTTTGTTGAACGACAAAAAGATCTAGTTTTATATGTTTCGTTTATTTAATTTTTTTCTCATTTTCACAGATGGTAACATTGTCACATAAATATACAAAATCATACAAAAACAAAATATTGATTCAACTTATCATGGCTTTGCTGGTCGAAAGAAGATATATTTCTTTAAAAAATCTTTGATTTCCAAATAAGACAGCATGTTACCCAAGAGAATCATGATTTGAACAAACTAAAATATTAAACTTCTCGAGCGAGAGTCATGGCGATTTTGGATATAATTGGTCATGCTGTTCTTGGAAAAGAATAGGAAAATGTAAGAAGTTTACAGACGGACAGGTTACTAGACAGTCAGACGGACAACAGACAAAATGTGATCATTAAAACTAATTTGAAATTTAAGCTCGTGAACAAAATGAGATTTTGATTGATGCTTAAAACTATTTATCAAAATGATTTAACATGTAATTATAACCTTATATGATATTATTTAATTTAAGATTTGAGTTACTTAAGTATTAAGTATACCGTTAATTGACGTTTTGGTAAGTTACTTCCCTTCACCTGAGACTGAAGTTGATGTATCAATCTGCGTAACATGTCTCCTAGCATCGCAATGTCAATCACTCTCTCTGCTTATCTTAATAATCAATGTTGAATTTCAACTTAGAAATGAAATTGTATCATCAAGTAACATGTGACCGGTGTACTAAATACAGTATACAGAGTAAAATCAGGATCTTTATAATCACGATGTACGGAGAGATTATTTAATATTTCTAGAATAGTAGTACGTTTGTGGCAACGCACTTTGAAAAAATTACGCACTTTGAAAAAATTTTTCAAAGTGCGTAAAATTTTTCAAAGTGCGTTAAATTTTGGACACACTCAACGCACTTTGAAAAAAAAAATTCAAAGTGCGTTAAGAATGCACATAATAATTTTTTACCATGGAGGCATTTAAAAAAAAAGATATGAATGAAAATAAAAATTCTAGACTTAGAATAGAGGAAATCAAATTGTAATAATTATATCTTTAAAACTTTTTTTAAATTTACATGAACTCATTTAACCTCATTGAGAACAAGGAGAAGACGAGTAGAAGGTCTCTCATCCCAACTCTTTTTTTCTTAAACATTGTACATAGCCGTCGGTAGCAAATTGAAAGTTGACCCCACAGCTAAGCCCCAATTTTGAATGCATACATGTATATATTATGTATATCTTTGCAAAATATTTATGTGCCTACATGTAAGCCCCCTTTCCGGTACTGATGCCTATGCCACACCCAAGAAATTTTATTTTTTCAAAGTGCGTTGACTTGGTCCCAAAATTTAACGCACTTTGAAAATTTTTTTCAAAGTGCGTAATTTTTCAAAGTGCGTTGTAACATACGTTTCATGTCCAGAAAAATACCAACCTTTTATGACTCGCCTATAAGTTGGACATAGACTTTTGGACTAAAATTTAACTCCTTCCCCCTAAAAACAACGTATAGGCGAATATATACGATAAGACTTTTGAATGATGTTTCCTTCCATGAGGACTCTTTGAATTTTGTATATTGTATTTATATATATTTGATAAATCTTAGTATGATAAATCTTTAATTGGTGATAAGAAAATAACCCATTTTCTTTTTTTCACCTAGTGCTTCCAGCCTCAATTCTCTGTTCCATCTCCATCTCAACACTTCTCTAGTAAAGTTGAGATGGACAGGCCTCTACATGGCTGTATAGATATACTTAGCATATCTATTTTTTAATTTTTTTTCTAAAAAAATAAATTATAAATAAATAAATACACCACCGGGTCACCTAGTTGGAGAGACTGAGACTGGTGGACAGCCATGCATGTAGTACAATGTCAACTCAATAAACAGGGCAAATAAAGATGGGAGTTGATACAATTTAAATATTACCGGTGACAAAAAGGGAGTGTTTGTAATAAATGATTAACGTAAGTCATAGGTTTAACCAAATAAAAAAAATGGGGGGGGGATGTTATAAACTTTCTAAAAGTTCAATATATACTGCGATTATGGTTACTATTAGATAAACAATGTAGATTTTATGAATTATTTTATGTTCGTGTATTTGTCCTAGGAATCAATCATGATAGGGGTTAGTGTCCTGCCTCTTTTCCTACTAGAATGGAAACATGACATGAATTCTTCGTAGAGAAAACAGTTAAAATGTCGAAGCGAGGAGGCGATATCCAGTGACTTGAGTCTATAAAGTAGGCTTTTTTAATCGATTAGGAGTGTGAGACCAAGAAAAGGGGTGATATTTCGTGAGATGGGACCTAGGGAAAGGAGTCCATATATTTTTTATTTCAAAAGAATAGGAACTTAAGTATAAATCAAGTAAAAATGGGTTGAGGGATAAACACAATCCGAGTTCAAAGGTCACCGTTTTTCAGAAAACCATAGTAGAAGCTCCTTTTCCTTAGAATCCAATTGGTTTTGAAAGTAATTTTTTTTAAAAGTAGATTGGGATTAAAAACAATTCGTATTTAGTTTTCGGAGGGTATGAACCAATCTAGATTTTTTTATTAAAAAATCATAGACTCTGCGTCTAAAAATCTAATAGGACGTGATGCATGAACCATGAGGTATTGATTTATTTTTTGTAAAGAAAGCTTCCTAAAAATATTTCTTTGAGACTGGAGCTAATAATAAAAAAAATTAGTAATGCCAATTTTAAAAAAAAGACATGCCCCCCCCCCCCCGAATTTATGATAAGTTTGATAGAAAATCAGAGAGAAAAAATGACATTTTATGGGCCTTAAGTGAAAAACAGGGTTCCCCTAAGAATTTAGGGGAAAAATGATGCGGATTTGATACAACTCCGCAACTTCTTGACTGTTTAAAAAGCATCTTTTCTAAAGAGTTGGGTGGCTCTTAAAAGAACCGTTTGATTTTTTTTTAAACTGTTAAAACAGCGCCGAGGAACGAATGTCTGGAAGTTCTGAAGTGAAATGAAGGCGAACCAGGAAGTGAAGTCTGGAAGTTCCTCTTCTTCTGAACTAAAGGGCTCTGAGAAAGCGTGGGAAGACATGCTCTGTGCTGGAGAAAAGGGCTCTGTGCAGTGAGTGGATGTCGTATTCCAGTTCTGGGTCAGGGTTTGCAACTCTTCGATATATTCTACAACAGCTCTTAAAATCTCCACTTTGCTCATCTTCTTGTTTTTCTTTCCGTTTAGAAGATGTTCTCGCAGAGTTTCAAAGCTAAGGATGAGCTCTTTTACTCGGTTCCGTTCCCTTTGATTTCATCGAGCCAGATTTTACTTATTCATGTTGACCGCTGATGGATTCAACCACAGAATGATCTTCAAGTTAAAAAAGCATAAAAGCATATTTATGCAGTGTATGACGTCATAATGCATGATGCGTGCTGAGCAGGTCCGGGTGTCCTCTTGGCGGGAAGCGCGTGTCCAGAAAGGGACCGGGTAAAGACCACCTGGCCAGGGGCTGAGTGGGATAAAAAGTACCCCAAGTATAAAAACCAGGGTTTAGATCCTCATTTCGTTACACACCTTGTCAGAAGTTAACCGTGTTTTTTTTTAAACCAAGGCATAAGCAATGATGAAAGCAATCCTAATTATGTGACACCTGCGAGCTATCTACAAGATCCATTACCTACCATGCCTGAGAGTCAGGATGCTATGGGTCTGCAGTTAGGAATGTTTAATGTACCCTGAAACCATGAATAAAGAAGATATGGCCATCTTGACCACCAGGTTAGAAAGCATAGTGAACACACTGAATAAGATTCAAGAGGAACAAGATCAATTTGAAGAGAGGGTAGCGACTGACTTGGGTTACTTAAAAAATAAATTACCCCGGATGGATTTGAAAGTCAACAAACTACAAGGGACCCCGGATCAAGAAGGAAAGTCCCCAGAAATTCCTACGAACACCGTAAAGAGTTAGGGCACTTGACGCCTGATTTTCCCAAGAAAGACTTATGTTACAAATGTGGACAATTCGGACATTGGAGTAATCAGTGTGACCAAAAGGATGAAAAGACAGAAAAAAAATCCTCAGGAGAAAAAATTACAGGATAACAGACCTGGGGACCAGCCTAAGAAAAGAAAACAGACGGGTGGGGCCAAGAAGACCGTGAAAGGTCAGAAGAAGAGTTGACTTTGTATATTATAAAAGATTAATAAACTTGTTTAAAAACTCTTATCTTGTTCTTTATTCCAGCTGTCCATCGGATTAAGGGTTCAACGCCAAGTTTTAGGACGGCTTTTATTCCCTTAAAAACCGGGAGGTACACTCCCTTACCCCACCTAGACCCCCTACCCAACCACCCAGCCAAGTGCTGAGTTGACCACCTGGCCCCCTAGCCACCAGTTGTTTTCTATGTGAACCAATGACAAGGAAAAAGTCTTTCCTAAGAGTTTATTTAACAGTAGTGAAATTATTAGAGAATACAAATGATGATCGTATAGTGGTTAAGAACAAAAGATATCCCAAAGATCGCCGTGCATCGTATTTATAATGTACAATACATTATAATCATTTGCATATACGATAAACAAGTTATTCAATAAATGGGTCTAAATCCTTTAATTTTTTTCAAAGAAGGATATGGAGATAACGAACAGTATTCAATCTCAACGTCCATTAAACAATATACAAAATAAGAGCAGAGCAAACACGGACCTCCGAAACATCAGAGGTGGGATCAGGTGCCATGGAGGAGTGAGCATCCCCTGCCGACCGGTCACACCCGCCGTGTGCTCGTTGTCATGATCAGGAAATAACGGAAAAAATCCGTCGTCAATTCAGTGACTAACAATTGGTATGAGAAACGTCAGTCAGCATTTGACTCAATGATAAATTGTATTTGCTGACAAGGTCATTGTATCGACCATAGAATTTACTAAATGCTGACTTTAAACGAGACTGTTGATATTCTTGTTTCATCAACTTGCTTGTCAATAATTTACCTCGTTAAGAAATTGTTCATACGTAGAGCACGCTCTTGCGTATCAAATCAACTGAGATATATATACTCCGTATGCAGGTGATGAAGGTATATTGCTGCATAAGTAAGGGAACGATAGAAAAGTTAGTCATCACGTTTATCATATAGCTTGGTTGTTAGATTACCATTAGTGTCTTTTTCAAGTAAAATATCCAAGTATGAAGCAGAAGTGTCGGACTCTGTGGTATCTTTTATCTCAAGCTCACCAGGATATATCGTATCGACAAAACAATTTATAATCTAAACACAAGTTTGGCTTTCCAGAAAGCCTGAAATGACATCTCTTTAGCTTCATTAATGTCACAGAATAAACAGTGAAGTGTAACTTTTTTCTCAGCTATTTCAGATTTTTCTATTCCTCAAGGGAAGGGGAGTGGCAGTTTACCTGAACAATTTTAGATTAGGAAAAAAGATTAATGATCAAACTCCAAAATCCTATGTTGTGGATATGAAGGAAATATTTTAACTTTATTTTGGGAGTACATGACTATACTTCAACAAACAGTGTGGATAAGGGAGGGGGCTTGCAGTGAACAATTACAACAGTACAAGGTTAAAAGAGCTAGGGCACAGATTTGTAGATCCGATTTTCTTAAATTATCTTAATAATATAATGAATCAAATGTTGCTAAAGCATTTCACACTGAAATATACTCAAATATTTTTTTATTAGTCCTTTATCTGGAAATTATCAAAACTACAAAGTTTTGGACGTTTCATTGACATATATATCTCGCACTATTACAAAGTAAACATAATCCATAATACTTAAGGTACGTCGATACTCGGATAAGAAAGAAAACTCCTAATGACAAAAGTGTCTATTATCTCTTTATAAATTTGTCAAGTTGAAGAGTTTTGTGCCTAATATGCCCCACAAGCCATGCTATAATTGTTTGAATTTTACTTCACATTTCCATTTCCTTTGGAGAATCATAAGAGTATTTTTTTTCAATGTAAAAAAATTGTTAATGTCCCACAAAGCAGTATTCGTTAAATTGTAAAAAAAAAAAATATTGCAAGAATTAGTTGGGTAAAATCTAAGCATTCCTTTTTACCTTACACACATATCTTTCACAGCTTCTTATTCTGACAGCTAACAAAAGTGCTAACTTTAAGAATACTGACCCTTTCAAAACATTTTCCTTAAATTCTCATTCCTTTAAGTGATATGGCCATCGAACCCCTTGGGTATAACGGGGAAAATGAACTAAACTTACATCAAAAGGTTTGCTATTCAGAATCAACTTTGAAGGAGCCCAGACTCCCCGCTTTTGTGTCCAAAATATCCATAAACTTTAATAATTCATTTTTTTTTGGAGTGACGGTGGGCCCCTACCCTTTTCAAGATCTCTGGATCCACCTTTGTTAATAAACGCTTTATAAAATATAAGCACATGCACACGGTACTGTCAAAATAAATCACAAGTGAGTGAAAACTGTCATCAACTAAGCACATAAGTCTTACAATATGAAACCTATATACTTTTACACACTTAGCTTATCCAAAGAAATAAAGCACACATGCTTTTAAATTAGGTAAGTCATAACATTTAAATGCTGTCTAATAAAATAAAGTATTTGCAAATTATCTGAAAAAAGTCCTCATTTGGAAACCCCGAACTTACGACTGTTTCCGGAATATACAGTATTGTGTCATTAGTGATCCTCCAAATTCACGTGAAGTTCGTATATACGAGTATATATATTTTTGTGCTATAGTAAACTTTCTCTGCTTACTAAACTTAAACAATCCTGTATTATTATAATTTTGGCCTCATTTCAATAATATAGGAGAAGTGATTTGATGTCTTTTTTTTGCTATTAATGCAATTAAAACTGCATAAAGAAAATGATTGCAAGTTCTGTAATTATAAACATGAAAACTCCTTAAAAAGAATAGATTAGACATTCAAGAAAATACTCATAATGATTATTTGTGATCTTTAATCTTCCAATGTCTGTAGTTTCGTATGGACATTAATGTATCCGCTTATAACATGTGCTTTTAATTTCTGAAGTTTCTTAATTTAAACATTCGATTGCGTAATCAGACTTGTTTTATTTATTTTTTTTAAATGATAGCAAGTTGATAGAATGACTAATGAACCAAAAAAATGAAGTTTTCACCATCAATCTATATTAGTTAATGCAATTACTTTATTTATAAATGTTTTAAATTTGATGCTGTTTATCTGTGAATTCTTGGATCCACGCGTCGGCCGGGGAGGATCTTTACACACGCACTGACCTAGTTAGAAGATTTCTATCGAGTTCTGACCATCATTTACGTAATGGCCAAGAAGACTATACAAGAGAACTAAAGTGCGCATGTATATTTTGAAGAACCCCCACCACCTAAGCGATCTCTATGATTTTTGTGCAGCTTGTATCTTTCTCAATAATAAGGCAGATCTCTCATTGTTTACATCTCGATCTATATTTAGAAAATCGCATCATCATCAAACTGACCAGTCGGTGATCCTCGGGTGGCCTTGCACTTTTTGTATGGAGCGTAGTGGAGTCAGCCGAGGATTGCCGATTGATAAATGGCAGCTTACACTGAGACTTCACATCCGAAAATCAAACTTAATGTGTCATCTCTCGTGAGAGATGACAATAAGTTTTTGTAAACTGGTGGTCAGTGTCTTTGTATTAGGCAAAAGTTAGTATAACTTTAATATAAACTTTAATTATGTTCAGTAATTGTTCCTGAATTGATGTCCGTAGATTGATAAACATCCTGGTATGTAATATAGTCCTTAATCCGATTAACTTGTTTGTTTACTTTTACGGAAAAGTCTTACACTTCTGTATCCTTCTTGAATTAGAGGTCAATGCACTGGATACTAAGTACATTTTAAATAATTGACGATGTTTATTTTACTAATTAAAGTAATTGTGTCAAACCCTATCGATATACATTTGTTCCCATGTAATTAGAAATTTCTGGAGGAAATTTCTGAACTAAGGAACAAGACAATTATTTTTGCTTGGTTCACAGGACTATAACAGGAAACTGATTATGAAAATTCTTTGCAAAATTTGGAACACTCACAAATGGTTCACATGAGTAATCGCAATATGTTCATCATGGTCATTGGATATAAAACGTGTTTCAAGGTTCTCTTCTTCTTGTTTAAGTTTTTTTACTGCTATACGAGGGCTGTTCAATAAATAATGTCCTCGGAAAGAAGCAAAAGACGCTTTTCAATGATTTAATCTTCATTATTTTACTTATCAATCTCTCTTAATTAAAACACATGTCCGTAACATTTTTTATCCAATTTCTGATTGTTTGTAGAACTCAATTTTGGGTATGACCCTTAGTATACTGGAAAATGGCAGATCCAATGATTTCCTGGACTTATTTCTTCCTTATTAAAGGTGTTTTTTCAAGTTTGAAATAGAAACAAGTCAAAAGGTCTAAGATCTGGCGAATATTGTTAATGTGAAAAAATATTAACCATTCGTTTATCTCGAAAACCCCTTTACTCTAAAGGGCACGCGGGTTTGGACGCTGTCATGGAGAAATTTAATGTAGTGGATTCCTGATTCTGGGGCATTCCTTTAGTAAAGCTTTCGATTTTTTTGCAAACAATTTGCTTGCAAGCCTCCTCCAGAAATTAAACTGTCTCCTCGAAAACGAATTTGAACAACAATACCACTAATATTTAAGAAAATTGCATATGAATCTGTCTGTGCTCTTGCAATTCTTTGCTCTCGCCAGACCTTGGCTGTTTTGTCAGATACATCTTATCGTAGATTTTGTTTTGAGGATTTTAAGCAATAGATTGAAGTTCCATTATCCGTTTGAATATCAAAAGAACGTGGATAATCCAATTATTGATATTTTTTAAAATGGTAAGACATTTGTACACGCTGTCGTTTTAACTAATTTTTCAAAATATAGGGTGATCTTTTGAGTACTAAGGTTTTTTTTTACCGTCAAACGTTTCTTCAAAAATGTGTAAACTACCCCCGATGTAATGTCTATCAAAATTGCTATGTGTCTTAAAGTCAATCCTACATGATTAAGTATTATTTGTTGAAATTTGGCAAACAGTACATAAGTTGTTATACTTTTTGTTGGCAAGGACGGTACCCATTTTTGATGCCCATTATATAATTTTTTTATCATTGAAATCCACCTGCTTATTTGTCTATAAAATAGGCATTGGTTGCTGTAATTGTCACATATTTCAGTGAATATTTGGGATTTTTAACAAGTTTTACAGGAGCTTTGATGAAGCTTTTATTTTCACTCGAGTTTACCTATTCTTTACCATTCATTTATAATGCAATGTCTCGAAAAGCCCTTGTTTTCCAGCTTCTCACAATGAAACTATGCGATGAAAAGTGGTCACATAAACTGTTATAAATTCAGTTAAGATTCAACTATAAGAAAAAGTAAAGTTTAATGTTATATGATATCTGTATTGTATGTCATACAGTTCAGGACATTATTTATTGAACAGCCCTCGTATACTAAGTAGTATCAAAAGGATAAACAAATACTGTGGATTATAATTAATACAGTTATATTAAATTATGGATATACAAAAGTTCACTTTTATTTCACTCATATTGGATGTGTACTTTTTGGTTCCTTAGTTTAAGCAGGATTGATGATGATGATGCAAGTTGTTATGCATTATCATTTCATGGAATGGAAACACTCCCCATGATTATAAAAGGTCATAAATATACCTTGTACATGAACGATTTATATAAGTTTAGTCTCGCATTTTATTTTCTCGTAGATCGGAAATTGTAATTAACAAAAGCAATGATAAATTCGTAGAATACTGCAACTGCCATTAATTACATCATTAGTTTTCGTCGTCGTCTTCATTTGTAAACATCGGCTAATTGACTGCTATCACCTGTCGTAATCTTCATTTCCATGACTTTTTGTGATTTCCACAGTATTATACTAATAACATAAATATGGTACTATCCTCTTCACAATCGCATTCTCTAAGCGAATTAATTCAGAATCAGTACAAATATGTATGACGGACCCAAAGACACTAGGTTAGACTTTTTCTCCGCTCTTGGTATCAGACAATGTACCAACGTCATATAAAAAATGCTTCAAATGTAGTCCACGACAAAATCCAATGTTTCTTTGATAACTGTTGCAATATTGTCAGAATTTGGATAGAAACTTCGAAACAAATTCAGTCAATTTTCAAAATCCATAAAAATGAGACAACGAACCTGACGTTAGCTTCATCACCATTTTCCCCTGCCTTGCTACATTTTCCTTCCACGTTTGATATCTTCCATTACCTAGCACATCCTGGTCACGGCACCAAACTGGTCTTGGGAACCAATGACAAGGAAGTCTTTTCTAAGAGTTTATTTAACAGTAGTGAAATTATTTGAGAATACAAATGATGATTGTATAGTGTTTAAGAACAAAAAAGAGATCCCGAAGTTCGCTGTAGATAGTATTTATAATGTACAATACATAATAGTCAATATTAATGTTTTTGCATATACGATTAACAAGTTATTCAATAAATGGGTCTAAATTCTGGAATTTTGACAAAACAAATCATAATCTAAACATAAGTTTTTACAAACTGGTGGTCAGTGTTTTTGTATTAGGCAAAAGTGAGTATAACTTTAATATAAACTTTAATAATGTTCAGTTATTGTTCCTGGATTGATGACTGTAGATAGATAAACATCCTGGTATGTAATATAGTCCTTAATATGATTAACCTGTTTGTTTACTTTTACGGAAAGGTCTTACACTTCTGTATCCTTTTTGAATTAGAGGTCAATGCACTCGATACTACGTACATTGTAAATAACTGATGATGTTTATTTTACTAATTAAAATATTTGACTCAAACCAGTCAGCTCGGCAGGTGTTTTCTACCATCCAGCGGTCTCGCCCTACAGCCTATCTAGGCTGTTTATACTACAAATCGTTCTTTTCTCCTGTTTATGAAGCGAGAGGAATTAACGGCTATCCTGGACCAATTTAACATCCAAGTGGACAATCCTGTGGCCATTCTGAATCAGGACACCAGCCGTAACTTTCTCAACTCAAAATCACCACAAGACAGATACAAGGTAAGGACTCCAATGTAAAGACATACAACTCAAAATCACCACAAGACAGATACAAGGTAAGGACTCAAATCTAAAGACATACAACTCAAAATCACCACAAGACAGATACAAGGTAAGGACTCCAATTGTGTACTACATAGAGAAATAATTGATAATTTTTGAAAAAAGTCATTTCCTCCTTTTCAAGTGTCTTAGTAAATGATACATAAAAATAATTTTTAATGTTATTCCAAAATATTTTATAGAATTCGACGGGTAACCCATCAGAGCCAGGGAATTGTGTTGTTTTCTATTTGCTTTATGGCCTGCGGACATTCGGAAATCGTGGGAAGTTCATCACATATCTCTCTCTCTCTCTCTCTCTCTCTCTCTCTCTCTCTCTCATGATTAGTTAAGTGAGGACATTCACAATCTTCTAAATATTCTTTTATGTTTTCTACTCGGACATGTCTTGTTGAATATAGGTTTTCATTAAAATTACAAAGTGACTCCATGATGTCTTCAGTTTTATTTAGTAATTTATTTTTTTTTTGATTTCATGTATCGTATTTGCCGATTGATTTTTTCTTTCTAATCTTAAAAAGTATGATGTATTTCTTTCCCCGTTTTCTATCCAGTTGGCTTTTGATCTAATAAATGCACCCTTAGTAGTTTTAGCATAAATTTTGTCTAATTCTGCTTCAAGATAGTTTTAATTTTCCTTCTTGTGTCCATTAAGTAGTGCGGAGACGTTTTAATGTTTTCTATTTCTTTTTTCTAATTCTGTGATTCTTTGTTTTCTATCAAGACTTTTTTGTTTTGAAAAATGTATTGAAAACGTTTTAACGATAGATTTAAGCCTTTCCCATCTTATTTAATAATCTAGATCTGTTACACCTTTGAGGTACCTTTTTATTTTCCATAACCTTGACCTCTTGTTTCTTTATTCATTGAAAGATTTAATCTAATCGAACGATGTACTTCTACTACCTTGCGTATTAAGAGCCTTTCTGAGAAAAACTTTTGACAAGTCTAACTCAAAATTTTTAGACAAAAATACAAAATCTATTCTACTTTTGGTATTCCGTTTTCGTCATACCAAGTGAAACCTTGTTTTTCTTTTTCTTTTTTGTCTTCCAGTATCAATTAAATTTAAGTAAGTCAGCATATCTTCTAACTGTTTTGAGCTTTTATCATTATTTGTTGATTCTGTATTATGTCTGTTCTGATTTTTAAGTACTGTATTAAAACTCTTGCAAGCATTATGTTGTTTTAATTCATTCATTGCTAACGTATAAATCCACGTCTTTAATTTTTTGAAAAAATATATTCTACTTTTTTCATCGTTTGGTGCATATACATTTACGAGGGAAATAATTGAGTCATTTACTTTTAGATTAACCAAAATTTTACGGCCATCTAAAGATCTATGCACATTTACTATTTCAAAGTTAAATTTTTTATGAAAAAGAATAGATACTCCTCTGCTATGTGCAGAATCTGTATTTGAATGTATAGATGTTCCATACCATCTTGAACCGTAATTAAAATTATTTTTTTTCTCAGAAGTGCATCTCTTGTAGAAAAATAATATCTATATTGTAATGTAATGTATTTCTCTTATCATAACCATTTAACCCTCTAACATTCAGGGTAATACACTTTATGTATTCCATATTTTAAAAAAAGCAGATAAAGAGAGAATATTCGTGCATAATTAAACAAAGAAGCATGCATTGATAAGAATTGCTATTTATTTTGCGAATCCTGGCGAGGTAGCCCTGATCTGGCCCTGTTTTCCGGGGGATTTTTTGAGTTTTTTTAATTTCCGTGACTATGCGTCCAAGAATCTGTCCCAGACCCAGAACATATTTTTCGGGCCATGCTGTGGGTTTTGTACGCTTCGCTTGGTTAAGGTTGAGACCTGTGGCCCAAAAATCGTCGTAAGTTGTTTCGGCGAAGACGACATTTTTTGGTGAATTTTTAAGAGAGTCACGGAAATACTCTACTTGTTCTGAAAAAAATCAGAGATTTACATAAAATTAATATATGGAGATAACAAACGGTATTCAAACTCAAATTCCATTAAACAATAAAAAAGGAGCAGAGCAAACATTGACCTTTAAATCGTCAGAGATTGTATCAGGTGCCATGGAAAAGTGAGCATCCCCTGCTTACCGGTCACACCTTGTGCTACTTGTCATGATTGGGAAATGTGTACCTCGATACCACAGATTATGATGTTTCTACTTAATCTTTAAGCAGGGATACTTTATAACACCAGAGGCATGCAATAAACACACAGACTGCAAACATAATCAAAGTGCTGAAAGTACTAAAGCGCTAAGCATATTGATTTGAAATTCATCAGAATTATTTTGAATTTAAATTTCCTGTTGTATTGAATTTTAAGCAATATCTTGACAGTGCGACAGCGCTTGGGGGAGCACACTTGTTTGGTACATAATCAAATATGTTAGTCCTGAAAACTTCCCGTTAGATTATGAAATTCAACATTGTCTTATGTCTTTTTTTCTTCTGTCAAAAAATCTTTCAATATAACATACATGAAACTGCAAGAAGATATTTCTCCGTGTAAAATTTTTTTTTCCCCAATCGCCTTGTAGGAATCTATTAGAGGTAATATTAGCCCTTACCAAAATATTGACCTTCTGGCAACATCTTCTGGTTTATTGCCGCAATATTGCAGCAACATTCTGGCAATACATTGCCGCAATATTGCGGCTATATCGTTTTTCGTATGTAAATTAGTTTTGCGGCAATATTGCTGCAAATCATGACCAAAATATTGATCTTCTGGCAACATCTTCCGGCATTATTGCCGCAATATTGCGGCTATATCGTTTTTCGTATGTAAATTAGTTTTGCGGCAATATTGCCAGAAAGGGGTTGCGGCTATATTGATGCAAATCATGACCAAATTATTGATCTTCTGGCAACATCTTCCGGCATTATTGCCGCAATATTGTGGCAATATCGTTTTTCGTATGTAAATTAGATATAAATTGGTATTTAAGAGTAATAATGATCTATCAATCTAACAATTAACAAACGTGCTGAGAAACATAAAAATCAAGAGCATAATTAGCTACAGAGTCGGTAAGAAATAGCTACTTAAGCTTATGCTATTCTTTGATAAGATAGAAAAAAATTGTAGAAAAAAGATGTTTTGAAACACTTTATGCCCCCAATGGCAACAAAGTTTGAAAAACCATTTTTAGCATAGAGGTCACAGTCAAAGTCACAAGGTCATTGATCTTGGTGTCATTTGAAAGAATTTAATTAGTGGAATATGCATACTAAATATGAAGTCGCTATCTCTTATGGTTCAAAATTTATGGTGGGGTTTTATAAAGGCTATTTTTAGCATATTGATCACAAAAAAGGTCACAAGGTCATTGACCTTGGGGTCATTTGAAGGAGCATAAATAGTGGAGAATGGATACTAAATATGAGGCTGCCATCTTTCATGGTTCAAAAGTTATGTCGAAGGTTCAAAAAATCTATTTTAAGCATATGGCTCACAAAAAAGGTTACAAGGTCAAAGACTTTGGTGTCATTTTAAAGACCCAAATTAGCTGAGTATGCATATACTAAGTATATAGTCTCTATTTCTCCTGGTTCTTAATTTATGGCAAATATTCAATAAAAACTATTTTTAGCATATAGGTCACAGTTAAGGTCACCAGGTCGTTGACCTTGGTGTAATTTGAAAGGACTTAATAAGTGGAGTATGCATACCAAATATGAAGTCTCTATATCTCATTGGTTCAAAAGTTATCACATATGGCAAAGGTTGGACAAAAACAATATGCGCCCTAATCTATCAATCCGGGCACATAAAAAATGTGTGTAAAAAATATTAATATGCCACTGTAAAAATGTCCAGCAACTCTGCATTAATTTTCAAATAACCTTATAATTAGCTGCCCATCACATATTCCCTAATGCCAATCAGTATAATGTATAATACATAACTTGTTTGTAATTTCCAACATATATATAGAATCATTATTTTCTTGCAGGTATTTAAATTTATGCAATAAATTAATCATATATGTGCATGCATTTAATTGATAACATGCATTCATCTTCTCCTGCAACAATGGTATGATATATATAGACATACAAGTATATATAGTATACATGTATCACAAGCACTAGTTGAAATGCATATAATTTTTCCTACTTTAACTCCATAAAATCATTCATCTAAAAAAGAATATGGTTTTGACTTACCAAGTCTGATATATATATATATATATATACCATGAAAACAGATTAGACATTCCTATAATTCTTTCAAAAGGCCAGGCCATGGAAACTGCTGAAATTCTTTTGTTCTGGCTATTCCACATTATTCAGTCTTCCTAGTCATCATGTCTAATCCTACTGTACACAAGTAACAACTCCAATTAACTTGATACCATTCAATAATGAAGCAAAACATGCTTGCCTTTGAATTCCCTCCATTTTATTTAAAAAGAGGAAGTAAATGACTGAGCATGCTCACAATTGCCTAATGGGTAATCCTAGATTTTCTGGCGACATTCTGACAATACTGCCAGAAAGTTTTTTCTGGCAGTATTGCCAGAATGTCACCAGAAGTTGTTGCCACTAGCGGTGATATTTCACTAACCCAAAAAGCTTGTTTCTGGTGACAAAAAATGTGTTGCTGCAATGTTGCGGCAATATAGCGGCAATATTGCTGCAATAATTTTACTTTGGTAAGGGTGGATATAAATTGCTATTTATTGGAAGGGAGATGGTAATCGAGTTTTCCGATGAAACTTAGAGTTTAAATGTAGCGATACAATTGCTGGGAAATGTATATTTTGAAATAAATTTGAACACTTATGTCGCTAAAATTCCTCTCATTTGTGTGCAACACTGAAAGCTAAAATCCTCTGGTGATCATTTTTAATCACAAATTCATTCCGCGTTTACGAGTGTTTCAAATTGAAGATTGGCATCATGTTTGTAACATCGTCATGTGACAA